ACATTTATATACTAGACAACAGTAAAAAAAAAAAAAAAGCAAAAACTGCAACAAAGAGGAATACAACCTCTTGCTAATGTTTCTTGGAGTTCATTTAGATAAATATCATTTAATATGATCATATGCACATAGCTATTGAGCCTTCCTGATCCTCTCCTAAGAATATCCTCCTTTGATCTCACTGTGTGAATCTCTAGAGACCTGTATAATTTATCATGTTCAAGTGTATTTTTTGTCTTTTACCAGCCAGTGTGTTTACTGGTAGATTTATAGTCACATTATAGTTCTTATTCTCACTGAGAATATATTTATTAGCTTTCCAGCAAGAGACATAATTTTAAATAAACAAATCTAACTACAATATTAATATATATTTAATATCATCTCAACTACTATAAAGATACAACAAAACATCTAATTCATCAGTAATTCTTTCTGATTACAGAGGTAATCCTAGGCACTGTGCTAGATGTCCTGAGAGTAATGAGAAATTAAATATTTTATAGAGATACCAATAAAGTTGAAAATCATAATCCAACTATGATCACACAGGAGGCCCCAAAGTATTATATAAACCATGTTGGGACACATCAGATTTTTGTTTGGTTGATTAAATTTGAGCCAGAACTAAATCGTAACTGAGGGGATTTTAGAGGTAGTAGTGTGGGAACAGAGAAAGGAAAGGTATACTGTAAGCCTAAAGGGTCTAGAGATAGAACAGAGATGTGTAGGTACAACTGAGGCTATTTATGATCTCCTCAAGCAACAAAGTCAAGATACCAAAATTTCTAATGTTCTTGAAACTGGGTTAACCATTGGGGTTATGAGAACATCTAGAACCTGGTCACTCTGCAAGCAGGGCATAGGAGCCCAGGAAAATTCTGGTTATACATAACACTCTTACTGGATGAGGGTACCTAGATGTGAGAACTGTCCCAGAGTCATTTCCTGCCTTGTACCAAAGTCTTCAGTTTAAGAATCCAGCATCTCTGTTAACAGTAAGGCACCAACTTATCTTCTCTCTTCCCCATTCCCCCTGTATATTGCTTAAATTTCCAATTCCATATTTCTTACCATAAAACTTCTGTGTTGTCTTGCAGTCATTACTCATATTTGCAAAGTAAAATATGAACAAGTGACAAGTACAGACATAGAACAAGAAGATAAAGTTTAGAGACTGTTCCATGCAATTAGTTTTCCCCTTTGCCATTAAATGTTTTCCCTATTGCCAGTAGATGTTTTAAAAGATCTTTTAACTAACGAAGACAAATATGCAACATACTATAAGGTGATATCATTTCATTTGTATATATTTACCGTTTAAGTCAGACTTCCATATAGTAGAGTCAACTCTCCTCTAATGGATGCCGATGTACTCTTACCTAATCATCAAAGGGCCTTGCCCTAATTCTGGTTCTTACCCTAATCCTAACTCCACCATAAATTTTGTTTCATCAGTTGTATTCATATGTGTGTGTTTGTACATGTCTTATGCTCTGACTCATAGGAAGCCTCTGCAAATACTGTAATAAACTTCATTCATAGCTGCTGACCTTAAATTGGGCTCTATATTTCCAAAATGCACAACACACCTTGATCATAATATCTCATAAGATGCATTTGTTCTCTTCAGGTGGAAGGTAGGTACATGGAATGTTAGCATCTCATTAGTACAGGTGCTGTGGCTGGGAAATGTAACATGAATCTCTCCACACCGACTTGTGGCCTACTACAACTCTGAACCATAGCAATATACTGCATTCCATTCCAGATGGATGTCTAGAGAGTAGAGGCGTCTGAGTATATCTGTTCCTCCAACATGTGCATTCTCTTTGAGAAGAAAGGAAAAGTGGATGTGGGATTGATTCTCAGCCTTGGTGGATGCGAGGTAGACAAGATTCACCCTAGGATGACTCATGAAGGCTACTAGTGCTTGCCATTCAGGGGCTGCTCTAAACACAAACATCTTGCCAACAGTTCCCGCAGGACTCCTCGCCACTCCAGCCGCAGGGGTGACTCACAGTATAAGATGGCACGCCCTAATGTGGATGAGCTACGGTTATACAGCACTTCACATCTCGTGTGTTTCTTTCCTGTATATGTTTTCCTTGTTGTTAGGGCTTCTATAAGCTCACCAGCCACCAGCTCAGCAAATATGATCCTTCCTTCACTGCCTTAGCTGCCTTGCTTTCAAAGATGCAGCATCGATCTTCAAGACTGGAGCACAGCCGGACTGATGAGAATGACTGCTTTCCCTGGGGAATGAACTTTCATCAGGGAAAATATTGCTCTCTTTGACATTGCAATCTGCTGCGTCTGGGGAAGGTGACAGGGTGTTGCCTGAGGCTTCACAGGTAGAAACAGAACAGAAGGGAGCAACGCTAACTACCATCCTCACATACCTGCCACAGGTTTGCTAACAAGGATAACCATAGGTCTTCATGTAGTCTCCTGTCAGCTCTAAAAGACTGCAGAAAAGGGGCGAGATGGGGCAAACACACAGATGCTGAAAAGTGCGCAGTAGATAATGAAGGCCTTTCCTCATTCCAAACAGAGTTTAACCAAAGGAACGTTGGAGATGGAGGAAGTGTTGCTACCATTCATAAAGGTTCCATGTCCAAGAGTCTGCAAGCTGCATTTCAAGACAAATTTTCCCAGCTGCTTTAGAGAAGATGTATGGAGTGAAACTACTCTTTTTTGCCATTTAACAGAGCAGTCTATGAATATAGTGCCTCTTGGATTACTGTCGCCCCTTTTAATATTCTCACCCACCCCTCCCACCCAAACCCTTTCCTTTCTTTTCTTAAATTTTAAGTTATTGCATTTTTTTTGCCATTTAACAAAGCAATTTGTATATACAATGCATCTTTTTTTATTGTGAAAATACTGTACAGAGAGGTTACAATTACACGAGCAAGGTAATGAGTACATTTCTTACCAAGCATTGTTGCCTCCTCCTTTGTTTCCCCTTCCCATCCCTTCCCATCTGCCCCCCCCCCGCAGGCGCGCCCGCCAAAGTTGTAAAGTTCGTTTTTCGACATAAATACAATGCATCTTGAGCTGTGTCAACCCCTCAGTATCTTCACATCCCCCCTGCTTCGACCTGCCCCTTCCCTTACTTTTTCTTAGTTCTGTGGCATATACAATGCATTCGTGTCTGCCTTCTCCCTCTTCCCCTTCATTCTGGTACTCTTCTTCCCTTGCTCCTTTTCATGTCATTGATGACCCCTGGAGTCTCAGGATTTAGAACATTTTGCTGCTCTTGGGTTAATGGGATGGCTATATCTATGAAATGCAGCTTGGGAGCTGAAATGACATTGACCAAGAATCTGGGCTTCTCTTCAAAGCCTTGATGCTTAACTTACATTCCACAGCACTAAGCATCACAGAACTTGCTTGTTTCCATCTCAGTGAAGTTATAATAAGGAAGCTTTCACTTCTAGTCATTTTAAGACCAGAAATGAGGGCAGTAGTAAATAAAATGGAAATATCTGATTGCTGTTCATCTAAATATGGACTCCCGTTAGATGCATTTTGTAGCTGATTGCAATTTTTAACTGTGATTATAAAACATTGTATCCACATGAATTTGGATTTAAAAATGCATGCATAAAGCATGTTACACTGAAACTAATGTATGTAGCATGTGTAATCTAATCTAATGTCCATCTAGATGGCTGAGAATGTTGAAAGGGGTGACGCTGATCAAGACACATTGTATTCAGAAACTGCCTTCTTGAATGGCAACTGCTTTGCACAACTACTTAAAAATAATACAAATATTAAAAGGAAATATCTATCCAGCATCCAATTTAAGAAATAAAATAACATTAATTCCCAAATGAATAATGCATCCTGCCTTCTAGGATCATTCCAATTATCTGTTCCTGTAATTATTTAGTTTTTCATATGTGTTGCATAAGCCTATTGCTGTAGCTGACCATTTTTTAGCCTTTTATGGCAACACTCAATTTCAGAGATTTTGTTTTTTCAATACTGTCACTCATTCATACCTATGATTATATTTAGTTTATTTCTTTCAACATTTGTATGCTATTAAATAATATGAGCAAACCACCCTATATGAATCCGGTTCACTGTTTTGTTTTGTTTTTCACATTTCATTTTACACCCAGAAACAACATCCATATAAACATTTTAGACCTGTCTTGTGAAGGTCATAAAAATAGACATATTAAATTACTGAAAAATATGGCATGCATGTCTTCATCTTTGGCTGGAATGTCAAACTATTTTCTGTGAAATAATTCTATATACTGACATTGTTCTTGACTGTTTTCTTGATTTCCACATTTAAACCTAACAATTCTACTTTCAAACTCTCTGTAGCCCTTCATCTCTTTATGCTTTTCTCTGACATGGATAAGAACTAATGATTAAAGTAGTACCAACCAACTCCTATCGTGCTCCGTGTAACTCCTAAGTGCTTCCATACTTCTAAGCAGATTCTACAGCAGCATAAACTTATTTAATTCTTTTCAAGCCAGTGTGAAGGGAAAGGACTTCCTGTTTGGATGATGGGGAGACAAAAGCAACTACAACACTGAAAATTAGTGAAGGCAAATACAATTACCAAAGAAGGTTTTGTTCTTCGAAAACAAAAAAAATAGTCAGGAAAGAGCAGCAAGTGCTGGTGACATCCTTACCTGGAACGGAATCAGGCCTGAAGTCAACTGTGGCAACGTGGCTGCCACCCCACCCAGTGCTGTCCTTGCTTTGTGGTCTTCCTTTCAGGCCCAGGTTGTCACTACCCTCTGCCGCACACATGTGTAAGCCATGCAGCATAAGCAAAGCAAAGTTTCTTTTTTATCTATAAAGAAGCTAACTCACTAAGAAATAATCAAGGTGTAGTCAAGTTCTCATTGCCATCAAGAATTCCAATATTTTGTAAAAGGGGAAAAAGCAGGTAAAAGGAAATCCAAGTCAGTGCGAGGATGGCTAAGACAGAGATGGGCTGTGAGTGTTGCAGGCGGTCCTACCTTGGGCGGCCAGCTCCTTCCACCGCTCCTTGTTCTGCTGGATGATGTCCACCAGGTTGTTTTTGAAGCTCTTCAGGTCCACGGCAGTGAGAGAGTAGTCTGGGGCGTAGCTCCCATCACTCATGGAGCCTTTTGCATTTGATCGTCTCAGAGAGTCAGCAACGTGTAATCCCACAATGCCAGATGAACTAATGGTAATAATCCAAGAAACCAAAGGACACCAAGGTTAAGGCACAAAAGTAGGGAGCAATGTCTGTACAACTACAAAAATGACCAGAGACGCATCAGGTGTGAAGTCCCAGTATGTACAATATATAATGTATCAATATGATATTAACATATCAACATATTACATTAATATTTTATATACTCTACACATTCTATATATTATAAAATACATAATATATTATTATACTATAATACTGTATATTATACTACAATATTATACTACAATACTATAGTATATATATGTTATTATATAGAATATCTATTTAATTTTTCAATTTTTTAAAATATATTTTTTATTGTAAAGATACTGTACAGAGGGGTTACAGTTACATGAGTAAAAAATCTCTTCCCTCCCCAGCTCCCCAACTCATTCCTCCCTCCCCCCTCGCCCCTGTGCGCCTGAAGTTGTAAAGTTCATTTTCAACATAGTGTCTAGTACATCTCACAGTTACAATGGGTCAACCTATATCCATATTAGTTTTTAAATAATGAACCTCAACAGTAGGTGTAATACAAAATATAACCACTAGATGGCGGTACTGCCAAATAATTCAAATTCTTGCAAGAATTTCCTGCCTTATTGTAATGAAAAAGGGTTAATTATTAATTTAAAAAAAACATTTTAAACATCACAAAGATGAACATTGTAAAAAAGAACACCTTAATTATACCTGCTTGCTCCGTAGCTAGAAGTTTCGGATTTTGATGCTTCCTCTATAAGAGGAATAACAATTTTCTCTGTTGAGTCGGTCAGAAGAGAAAATGTTGGCTCTACTATGAAATCAATAAAGCCTAAAAATGCAAAAACAAAACAAATAGGTAAGTAAAATAAATAGGCAAGTGAAAATAAATTCAAATGTTACAATAGGTTTTAATGATAACAATGGGTCTGCTTGCTTTCTTAATAGTATTTTAGAATGAATAACGCAACATTTATAGATGTTTTAACTGTGCTATAAGATAGTTTCTCAGAGGTGGGCATCAGTGGTTCACTCCTGTAGTCCCAAGCACTCAGGAGGCTGGAATCTCAAGAGCCAGGTTTGAAGCCAGCCCATAAAGGAAAGACCTGGACATTCTTACTGCTAATTAACCACCAAAAAGCCACAAGTGGAGCTGTAGCTCATATGGTGGAATGCCAGTCTTGAGTGACAAAGTTAAAAAAACAGCACCCAGGACCTAAATTCAAGCCCCAGTACCAACACACACACACACACACACACACACACACAATCTGTAATATAGTATGCCAAATCTCTTTTGCACCCTTTTGACTATTATTTGAAAATTCCTTGTGTATTTTAATACATCTTTAGTATTTTATAAATCTTCTATATCAGAAAATATAAAAATATATTAATTCATCCACATAACTCACTAATGAACACAAAAAAGCTAAGGGGCAGTTCCCAGGCCCTGAGCTCAAGCTCAAATACTGGCGCACGTGCGCGCGCACACACACACACACACACACACACACACACACACTCTCTCTCACACACACACAGTCTCAGGCAGTAAACATGGCATGATTTAAGCTTGCTAATGCAAGTGTATTGGCTTTCTTATTTACTATTCAACCTGTGTATTCTATTGCTAACAGCAGTCTCACATCCAACGAGCAGTGCTTTATTTTTCCTTTCAACAAGAGGTATTATTGCCAATTTGGCTACTGGTGGCGAAATTTTATTATTTGCCAAAACAGAAATGATATTTAAACTCCAAAATAAGCTACATAATGAAAGTTTTTCCCACCTAAGGCCACAGGATGGCAAGCACTCTTTTTCCCCTTCTCCTCACTACATCATCTTCCTGCCAGTGTGTTAATATTTCAAATTGCTGTTTATTATTCTCTGGATGTAAAGTGTTAGTTCGCAGCGTGTGGGCGCGTGCTGTCAAATCGGCAGAGAGAACGGTAACATCTCTGGGAAGACAGCATTAATCCCACCACTTTGAGATGTCAGGACTGAATGATTTTTACATTTAAAGCACTTGTCAAGATGGAAAATGACACACAAAGAACAGGGCCTTGTCCTCTGGGAACATTTACCTCCCAGTGTTTAGGCAAAGGAGGAGACAACAACTATTCTAAGCTCTGTGTATACCTCTACTCCCAACTCCCACTGGTGTTTGAAATCAAGTGCTTCTTACCTGAGGGGGGAGGGGGAATGGACTACTACCTGAATATAAGAAGAAAGGTAAAAGAAGGTTCTGGAAAATATCTTCACAAGAAGATGATCCATAAAATAACCCGTAGTTCTAGTAGATTATCCATAGTATATATTGAGGCATGTTTCTAATTTAAAAATACTTCAATAATTTTGTGTCTTACTGGACATTTAAAGTAATGTTAGTTGTCCACCATGTTCTGCCTGCAGTTCCAAATGCCCAAGATACATAGACTGTCCAGAGAGACATCACAGCTGGTAAATAAGACAGTGATTGCTATTACAGCCACAAAACGGGGGCCTATCAGTCCTTCCCAGCTGGCAGACGAGATCCTTAGCCTGCTGGGTCAGTGTTCTCTACACTCAGCGAAGCTCTGGGTGTTTGGTACTTTATAGAAAGAGGTGTTGAAACTTGGAAAGGGGAAAAGGTTAAAGCAAACAGCTTTGTTGTAGGTACTGCTAGAGCACAGAGCAGGGGTGAGGTGAGAGACGACTCTGAATTCATTGGTCATGTAATTCAGTAGGGAGGATGCTGGCTTAGGGAATCACTGCTGCAAATATTTGAGCTGTGTGACATTGTAATTGTAGATTTTAATAATGGACTGGAGTTGCCGTGCCCAACACAAATACAGATAAGAACAAGTGTGACGGGAAATAATATCATGTGCAAATTTCCTGCTGTTGGCTTATCTGTTTATAACACCAAGATGTTTTATCAAAAGAAAATGTGTGAGATTATATATTAAACATGCCAACAAAACTTGGCAATAACACCTTAGAAAGCTAATATTTAATCAAAAGGTCTTACATAGATTGCAGAAACCAAAAACCAGTATCAAAATAAAACTACCATTCCCTTGAACAAGAAGAACATTTACAACCAGCATAACAATAACATTGGCTCGTGTTGCTTGCTTGAATACATTTGATGAATTTATTTTAATAATTCTCATTCTGCAACATCGACATCAGCCTAAAGCCAAACATTATGGTGAACACAATGTGAGGTTTCCCTGGACAACTGAGTGGCTCAGGTATGCATTTGAAACTTGACCAGTCTCTCTGAGCCCCAATGCTCCAGGACCACATTTCTTCAGCATTACCTATCTGTGACTGGGCCACCATGGTCGACTTCCGGTCACACAGTGGGGAGAATGGAAGCCCTAATTCAGCTTCTTTGTCTCCCTGGGGGAAAGAAAGGTATGTTAGTACAGACTTGGCTGAAGAACTTAATGAATTCTAATGCCTGAAAAAGCAGCCATCGTTCATTGTGTGTATACGTATGATTAAAAACCCACATTTAGCTAATTTTTCTAGATAGTATTTTGTTGAGAGCCTTCTGAAGGGGGAACATTATGAATATATTCAGTATCTGTAGACTTCATGATTGAAAAGACCTTTGCTCTTTGGGAACTTCTGAAATTAATCACCTCAGTATATTATTTACCATTTAATTAACAATAAAGTTCATGGATGGATGTTTTGCTTCTTTTCCTTTTCTCTCTTCCCTCCTTCCTTCCTTGCTTGCTTCTTTCCTTTCCCTCCCTTTCATTCCTTTCCTTCCCTTTCTTCTCTTTCTCTCTCTTTCTTTCTTCCTTTACTTTCTTTTTCCTTTCTTTCTTTTTCCTTTCTTCCTTTCTTTCTTTCTTCCTTCCTTCCTTCTTTCCTTCTTTCTTTCTTTCTTTCTTTCTTTCTTTCTTTCCTTCTCTCTCTTTGTCTCTCTCTCTTTCTTTCTTTCTTTTGTGTGGGTACTGGGGCTTGAACTCAAAATCTTGGCACTGTCTCTCAGCTTTGTCTCTCAAGGCTACCTCTGTTCCACTTGAGTCACAGTTCCATATCTGAATTTTAGTAGTTATTTCGAAATGAGTCTCATGGACTTTCCTTCCCTAGTTGGCTTCAAACTGAGATCCTCAGATCTCAGCCTCCTGGATTACATGTATCAGCCACTGCCACCTGGTTTTGTGCTGTTATTATTATTATTATTTTAAAAGCACACATACATGAGCACCAATTTAAAACTAAGATCTTGTGACTGGACTGTTTTTTCAAATTTAACCTGCATGAGCATTTTGAACCATCTTTCTAGTCATTAAGTTGTATTAACTCTTTCACAATATGTAATGAGGAATATCCACAACATTCTTCCACTTTGTGTCCACAGTTTTATTTTAATACATTTTTTTCTCAGAGAAAATTATGATGTCAACAATAATTTAATCTTATCTAAGATAGATTAATTGAGCACATATGTGAAATTCTATTTGGGTTTCTCGTCCTGAGAAATTGATTTTCATCTTGTAATGGACAGGTGGTTATTTTGGGTAAATCTGAATTCTCATCAGGTTTATCACATATCAGTTCCTCCTCTTAAATCTAAGAAGATGCACATGTAGAGAAAGAAGGAGAAGGGAGGATTTTTCTTCCTCACCCCTGTTCATTTTAAACGTCTGGCTATTTGAATGAGTGTTTGGGGCCCTGTTTTCATCCTGCTATTGGCTGTGTTCCTTTATAAGGCACCAGTCTTGCCTAAGGAAACAACATCTGGCTAAAGACTTCCTACTTTCCTTTCAGCCTGCTTCCTTCTCACATGAGGGCTGTCTGTGGCTTTGGAGGGTTGCTTAGCACTTTTCCTGGTGTAGACCCCGTAAGCCACAATGCTGGCAGAATGAAATCAGAATTGGCTGGCAAAATGTAAATGTGATCACACATTTCTATGACTTTTGCCAGCAACCTTCTGAATTATAACATTGATTTAATTTAGAATTAATACGTGTAGCCAGCTTCCATGTCAAAAGGAAAGGAATTAGTAATGCCACTGGCCTTGGACTTAGAAGAGGTGGTGAAGTGGATCACCAGTATCTGATAGGGCAGATAGGTCTTAGCCTTTGCTGTGACACTGGCCTCCTAATTTTAGTGGTAAGACTTAGTAAGTATAATTGTATCTGCCTAAAAGGATTATTCTGGTGCACCTGAGATAATTTATAGGAAGCCTAAAGACACAGCTTAACAGTTAGTAAATACTAATTACATTTAACCAAGAAGAGTCATAATTCATAGTAGCAACAATGAGCAGCTGTATATATTAAAGACATTTATAATATCTAAGCATATCTTGGATGGTTTTAAACTACTGGAAGAAGAATTTGTACTTTATGTTCTAATTGGTTGCATGCAACCAATTAGAATTTTCTTTTTCTCCCTTTTTTTTGAGAAAGGCATTGATATGATAGGAAAGATTAATTTGAAAGATTAATTTGGAATATTAATTTGTCTGCAATCTGAGAGATGCTGGGATGAAATAAGGATGACTCTTGGGTCTCCAGTCAGATTGAGAGCAAGTGAGTCAGTAATGGAAAAAAAGAGGCTGCGATGAGAGGTAGGTGTAAAGACTAATATGGAACTGATTTTTAATTTCTTAAAGTAAGGTACAAGACTAATTTCAAACTGTAGTGCTGAACAGCAACATTTTTAATAATTTGTAAGTAATTATACTAACATTATTAAAATAGAAATAAGGCTGCAAATACTTTCCAGGCAATGTGATATTGGTGATATGTATTAGAATATATATATACAACTGCCTTATTGATTAACTGTTTTATTTCCTTTATTCACCACAGTTAGGTTGCTGTGAACTGGTTTTATTGGTCAAGTTGTTGCTAACTGCTATTTTAAGGGCACAAATTCAGTACGTATATTTTTATGTTGTAGTGTTCTCTGGTAAACTACTAAATAGTCATTTAGGCTTCCAAAAAGTACAGTGATATTTTACTCTTCCTAAGCTAAATTTTATAGATGGCTGGATAACATTTTCAGATATGACTTAGGCACTGGACATTCACATGCAGGGTCAATTTTCCTTTAATCAGAGAGAAAGATTTGATTTTCTCCTTGCTTCCTGCATGCCACAATTAATTTAGATCATCAAAATTCTCTTGCAAAAGTGTGCTTTGAATGTTAAAGTATATTAATAATTCAGCTTCCTTATAAATAGTTTAGGGTGTTATTTGTTCTTTAGGATACATAAAGGCCATGAGTGCAAGGTCAGGAAGGGCCCTGTAGCTAGATTATAAGGGGACTTGAAACCTATAGGGCAAGGCATGCTATTACGGGAGAAAACGTTTTAAGGGATAAGTTATAGTCTCTCAGTACTAATTTGACCAACGTTATAGTTTTATTTTCCTATCTCTGCTTAGGGAATATTGACTTCCTATGGAGATTAGTATAGGAAATACAATTTTACTTTGAAATAACAACCTTTATGTGACACCTAAGCGTGAATGATGAAATGGAGGGGTTTAACGATATACAATGTAGAACTAAAAAAAAAAAAATTGACCTTCCAAATAATGTACCTCCAAAATCACTTGTTTTTTTTTCAGCTAGCAATGTAATAAATTAATCAATGTATATCTTTCTTGTGATCATGTTAGGAATGCTTTTAAGATGAAAATTTTATTACTTATAGTTACTGAAAGCTGAGCTTTAAGAATTTAGGCATCATTTACCCTTGAGTAACTCCCAAGTAGCAAAATATTTCATAATTATTGTTTCTCTGATAACTTGCCCTCTGAAAAGGGTAAAACTTAAATCTGTCCTCCAGTACTTCTAGCTATTTAGGAGGCTGAGATCTGATGAATGCCATTTGAAGCCAACCTGGACAGGAAATTTCATGAAGGCTTTTATTTTCAATTAGCCAGAAAAAAAGCTGGAAGTGGAGCTGTGGCTCAAGTGGTAGAATGCTAGCCTTGAGTGAAAAAGCTAAAGGACAGCACCCAGGTCCTGCGTTCTCTCTGTCTCTGTCTCTGTCTCTCTGTCTCTGTCTGTCTGTCTGTCTGTCTCTCTCTCTCTCTCACACACACACACACATACACACACACACACACAACAAAACTGACCAAAAGTATAACAGATAATATCAGTTATTCACATTGCACATTTGTCTTGTAGTTAGGGAGTACAGTGACCGCTCACTCTCTGTTACTTTCCTTTTCTCACCCATCTTAGAAGAAGCCAGAAATGGTACAGGAAAGAAAACCCCCACATACATACACAGGGAAGTCACATCTCCACTGCTGTGAACACGGAAAACCAGAGTTTACATTTTTTAATGAAACCAATTCTATTTTGCATTATTAGCCATATTTTTGATGAATATGAATAAAAACAGTTTCCTTAATGAGATGTGGCTGGGGGTATTGCTCGAGGCAGAGCACTTGCCTAGCATACAGGATACCCTGGCTTTGATCATGAGTACTATAAAAGCAAGCAAAGAACAGCAATAACCAAATACCAATAATCAGAAAACACCAGAAATCCAAACTATTTGTATGCATAACCCGAGCTGAGGGCTATGGATATTTGTGGCCAGATATCCTTTACTTTGGTGAAAACCTCCAGCAGTAATATGATGTATCTCCCAACGCAACACTTAAATTGTTATCACATTCTGAAAGACTGAAGGAATATAATTGCTTTATAAAAGAGTTGTTTTCACTGTCTGAGATGAAAAGACCAAATTACTTTAGCTCAATGTGTAACAAGACAGTATCTATCAATACTGTGGGCTTGACAAAAGGTTAATTTCACAGATGTTTATGCACAGATGAGCAATTAGGAAACACATAGAGAACTACTGCAGCCCTAATTCTAGAACATCTGCACAGATCCCCACATCAAGTGTGAAAGCAGATGCATTGAGTAAGGCACATACCAAGGAGTTTGAAGTCACTGATGAATTCAACTCTAAAGGGCTAAAATATGGAGTATAACTAAGAAGAAGTAAGAATGTTGTTTAATTTACTTAGCTTAAATGCAAGAAAACATTATACCTGTTGGAGTAAAAACCATATTTGAATGAATCTCAGAAAAGTCAAGAGGTTTTGCTTGAGGACCATATTTATTGTAGCACAAACTCACTTATTTTCACCATTAATTCTACCATTTTTCTTGTTTCTGCATATTTTTCTGAATGGGATTTGAAAGCCATTCCCTTTTAAAACTCAAGATAGTGTTACTTGAGATTTCAATGTAAGATTCCATCATTTAAGACCCCCAAGTGCTAAGTCAACTTATGATGGTCTGACAACATTTTCATTTTGGAAGAGATAGGCATTGTAATCAAAGACAATTTAATCTTTTTAACAGCCACATTAAAACACATAGTTACTCTCCTTTGGGCTGTG